CCCGACCGCAGCGCCCTGCGACCAGCTGGACCAGCAGCAGCAGGCGGAGTGCGCGGGACGCCGACCCCCGCGCCGCCATCGCCCAGGGCCCGCGCCGGAACGCGGGCAGCCGCCTCTCGACTTCCGCGAGGGGAACGCGGACTCCTGGGGTTTGGAGCTCCGAGTATGAGTCGTGAGAGAAAACCAGGGCAGACACAGCAGAGGGGCCACTCTGCTCCTCTGCTCCCGCCGGGACAGCAGCCTCAGCCTGGCGGCTTTGGGCGGGCTCTGTACGCCTGAGAAAACCCGCGGCGCCTGGCCCCTCCCCATCGCCCTGGCCCCTCCCCATCGCCCTGGCCCCTCCCCATCGCCCTGGCCCCTCCCCGTCCGCCTCTGGCCACGCCCAATCCCCCCGCCTTGTTCCTTGTGGCCCAGTCGGTTCTACTCATAGCCCCGCCTCCGATCCCCACCAAGCCTTTGCCCCGGCCCCGCCTCCGGCTCGACCCCGTTTTCTCCTAGCTCCTCCTTTCCACGCCTGGCCCCGCCCCATCGCCTTGGCCCCGCCTCCAGGCCTGCCTTCCAGCAGGTGCGAACCTGGAGCAGAGCTAACCACCCGGTGACCTTGGCCAAGTCATTGCACACCTTAAGATAACAACCACTCACTGATGTCTGTCTGCTCTGTGCTCAACACCAAAAGGGGAAGCAGAGGGACAGATTGCTCCCAGCTGATAGAAAACGTAAATAAAGTAATTCCGAGTTGTGATCAGAGCTGCGAAAGAAGCGGGAGGCAGGGGCACAATCACGGTGGCACGGGACTTGCTCCAGGTGCCAGGCTGCAGCGCTCTCCATGGGCCCCGCTGACCACTCAAATCTTTCTCACCAGGAAGTACCAGTGGCAGCTTGACTGCCTCCTGGGACTGTCGTGCAGGCCAAGAGGTCCCCATCAGGAGACCTGCGCTGTGGACCAGCGAGGCGGCCCTGGGCAAGTCACCTTCCTCTCTGGGGTTTCCAAGTCTGGAAACTAGGAACCGAGGCGGATAAACTAGAGGACTCGGAGAGGTACAGCTTTGACACCCATTCAAGCAAACCCCCGAAATGATATGCAGTCGCCTCAAACGTGGGCATCGCCCTCCGTGTTGCCATCAATTAACATTTGTAAATATTAGTGACTATCTGCCACAGACACTTAGCAACTCTGGTGGAGATTGGTGCTGACTGCTGGAAACCCGTCTCAAATCCCTCCAGACCCTGTATTTCATCCTCTCTGTCCATAATTGATTAGAAAGCTTCATTTGGCTGAAGGGATTCAGGCGAATTATCTTTAAACTTCAGTGGCAGAGGGAGCCGCTGACTCTTCACAGAACGCTTTATGGAGTTGACACCTCTAAAACTCATTGTGAGCAGAAATTTCGCTCCAACCTCCAGACTAGTAAATCTGTGAAAAACTAAACGTGGTTGCAAAGAATCTAAACAGCAAAATTCAGTGAAGAGGTTCTCCTTAGGTCCGACTACAGCTAGAAAAATGGAACTTACATCCAATGAAGCCAATCTGTTTAAGAGGCACTTAAAGAAAGGGGCCACAGAGAAAAGACGCACAAGATATTAAGCAGGTTAGTAATTAATTCCACTCTGCACAGGAATGAAAGACAGTACCTATCATCCTTTCACTGCAAATTTATGTTTTAGTCTGAAGAATTTATGGGACTTCTAGGCACTTATGCAATTCATCCTATCAGTGTTTGGATGCCTTTAAAGTGTTATTCTGCTTTTACAGCTAACAGATGTGAAACAGAGGAGTTGAATAACCGGTGAAGGTCACAGTACCTCTCAGTGGCAAAACTGGAATTAAATGGTTGTTAGTGCAGCCACTGCAGGTATAATTGGAACTCCTAGAGTGTTATAGCAATAATAATGAGAATGACCATTATTTACATAATCTATGAAGAACACTATTAATTGCTGCTATTAAGGCAAAGCGTGTCATTTGTTGGGCATTTTTAAATCCAAGCAAATAATCAGAATATAACATCTACATCTTGGATGGTTTTTCCAAGGGGATATGCCAATTACTCATGGTAGCTGGATGTGGTGCTACACCTGACTGGTAACAGGTATCTTCACACTGCGAGGAGACATTATTTGATCAAATGACAATGAAAATTGCTGCGTTGCTGCAGCCACCACATACAAAGTTCCCCTGGCGTGGCATCTGTCTACCAGCTGCCTGAGATTTAGTCAAAGGGACCAATACACAGTTCTGGCATCCCAGACACCGCATTTTACTCTGAAGATTGTGGAATTTTTT